TTACATTTTTTGGGCTACACGTGTCAGAAAGAGGACTGTGCCAGCTTTCCTCCATTTAAACCTCATAAAAAAGGCTCTTGTGGCTGACAGATAGCTGAAATGTTCTCCTCATAGCTTCTAGAACATTAGTAGTAGGCACTAGGGATGAGCGAGTACACCACTATCTGTATCTGTATCTGTTCAACCAACTAAATTATCTGTATCTGTACTCAGAATGGGCGTGGCATAACCCAGAAGTGGATGTGGTTTAACCGGAAGTGGGTGTGGTTTACATCAATATATTACTTTAATTCTGAAATTGATATGGATTGATCAGAAGTTGATATGTGTGTGGTTTATTTGAAAACTATTTACAGAGCAGCCTCAGAATAGAGATTAAATATTTTGGATCACAATGGTAAAGGAACTATTACAAAACAAGTGTTTCAATAAAATCAGAACATTAATATTTAAGTACTTGGATTAATACATCTGAACTCATGCAGTAGGAACTAGGAAATATGAAGTGCTAGAACCAGACACAACTTTATATATATATTTTTTATTTTAATTTGATTAAACTGATTTTTTTCTTAACGTTCTTGGCATTTTCCCACACAAAGTTAAACAAAACAATGTTGATTGAGGTGTGTGTGTGTGTGTGTGTGTGTGTGTGTGAGAGAGAGAGAGAGAGAGAGAGAGAGAGAGAGAGAGAGAGAGAGAGAGAGAGAGAGAGAGAGGAGTAAAAAAAAGTAAAAAACCCGACCGGAGCGGAGGTAGAGACACAGCACGTCAGCTCTGTCTTGTCAAATGCACCATGTAAGTTACGAAAAAAGTTACTTTAAATATTCAACCGAAAAAGAGGCGAGCTGAAGAAAACCTAGGGAAAACTGAAGAAAAGTGAGCAACAGTAAAGCCATCACAGCGAGATCCGTGACTGTCTGTGTGTGTGTGTGCATGGATGAGCCGGACGGACTGCGCTCCCGGCCGGCTGGAGAGTTTTGTGTGTAGGGAGGGGCGGGCGCTCTATGTGACTGGCCAATCACAGAGCGTGAAGACAGTCAATTACCCAATGAGGATTTTCCTTCAGCACGATTACAGATATTTACGAGGTTTACTTGTTTCATGCTCGTATTCGTCAAAAATGCTTTATCCGTACCGGATACTCGTCTGAAACGAGTATCCGGCTCATCCCTAGTAGGCACACAATACTTCACACAGATAACCACCAAAGCCTTCTGCCAGTCATGCTTTTTGAAATTTTCCACTCGGTGCAGCAGTTTTTGAAAGGTGTTGAGACATTCATAGCTCTGACATGACATCTGAGCAGCTGAGCACTGTTGATTTATGAAATCTTGAAAGAAAAATTTCCACCAACCACATCTTTTATAGTACACTAATGATATTTGCAAATTCGTTAGGCTATTTTGTCAGCTTCGAAATGATGTCTTCGGTTTTCCTGTAAGTTTTACGGTTTTTGTGCTACACGCGTCAGAAAGAGGACTGTGCCAGCTTTCCTCCATTTAAACCTCATAAAAAAGGCTCTTGTGGCTGACAGATAGCTGAAATGTTCTCATAGCTTCTAGAACATTAATGGTAGGCACACAAGACTTCACAAAGATGACCACTAGAGCCTTCTGCCAGTCATGCTTGTTGAATTTTTCCAATAGTTGCAGCAGTTTTTGAATGGTGATTGTAAGGTAATTTTATCAATCCAGGATTACCTTAGAAAACGTGTAATGCACAGGGGGTTATATTAGTCAATCAATCAACACTAATACCAGTCATAAACAATCAATTTAGACTTTGCAAAGTAGAGAGAAAAATGAATACACACCAAGCACGGGTCTCAGTTAACTCTCATTAGACTGACATCTTCCGAAAGCATTTATTAGCACACAAGCACACACAAAGATTAGCACACACATATTTGACATTCCTTAAGCTATTACGTAGACTCTCAGGCGGGAAGCTGTGAAGGGAGTCTAAACTCTAAAACTCCAGGTGCACCCTAAATCAACAAAGCAATTTCTAGACTTTCTCAAGGAAGTTTTACTGATAAAGGTTGGTTCTGAGGCAAGGTCAATCCTCCCTGTAGGAACTAGTGGAGACTGGTATCTGTCAACAGGATGAAGCTGCGTTTTAATAAGGCACCAGATGTTTAGCAAGCAAGATATTAATATTAGTTCAATAATAATATCAGTTTTTACTTAACAATCCTCCCTGTAAACGCTAGGTTCATCTCCTATAATTGACAGTGTAATAAAACAACAGTAACAATACTACGATTAAGGTAAATATGTTTGTAGTTGTAAAAATCTAACTAACACACAAAAAGATCACAAAATAATTAGTGACCCCTAAAAGGCTGTAAAATACATAACAACCTGTAACAAAAGGAGGTTGCAGCAATAGGTGGCAACCTGTAATGTAATGGGTGATTATAATAATGATTATAATAATGACAAAGTAAAAAGTTTAAAAAAATCAACTGAGCTGATAACTAGGACATCAATAAACAACTGTTACAGAATTAGTAGTTTACATTGTTGAAATCATAATGAAATTAGCTTTATTAGGCAATGTATTCTTTTTCTTCTTCCAGCTCCTCTCTTTGCTGCAGGAGCGTGTACTGTACCAAAGCATTTGTCATTAGCTTGTTTACCATACTCTTCAGACAAGGGATTACACAGCTTATAACCAAGCAAATCATGACTAGCATAAAAATAACAGTTGCAAGACATTTTAACAAGAGCTGATACCAATTACCAGTGGTCAGCAAATCCATTAAGTTCCAGGATCCTCTAGTTGATTCTTTGGATTTCAGGAAGTTGCTAGAGGGGGAAAGTTAATGTAAAATGTTAATGTATGCAGCTCTAACTGTGGCAGAGCTGAGGTCAAAGGGCTTGTCCGAGGACTGGAATCTGTAGTTTGAGCAAAACAATGTCCTCTTCAGGAGGGTGTTGCATTTTTGTGGTTTCGAAGTGGGGGAAGGTGACGCAGAAGAGTCCTTTGGGGTCGTCGTTGTGAGTGGTGCGGCTTTCGTTGTTGGAGAAGGGGCGGAAGGTCATAACAGACTTAAACTCTCTTACTTCAGCTCTGATGTCCTCGTAAGGACGGCCCCGTCCTCTGTGGCCTCATATGAGGCGGGGTGCATGCGACCCAGGCTGCAAATTCCACACCAGTTGTGTGGCAGGTCAGGTAGAGAGAGAGCTTCCACACTTCCAGATGTATCTTTCAGGGGTCCCCAGTCCCATGACTGAGGAGACTGCGAGAACATGTTCATTTGGGTTGCATGGGGGTATAAAGGTCGTCCAGTCATTACAAGGCTAAACAAAGGGCATGTCCAGCATATTAGCAGCAGAGTGGGATGGTGCACTTCCTTCCCTTTAAGGGTTAAATGGTGAGGGCATGTAGTCGTTCGTCGTGATAGGGGTAGCTGTCATCGTGGGGTTTTCCATTGAATGATGGGGGATCCAGGAAAAAACATAGCAACTTTTTTTAAATCCCAGTCTTTTAGCAGTTAGATTTACCATGTGGAACCAGGTGTTTCGGTGTGCTTCGTGGATTTCTATGGGAGTAGGCTTCGTTTGTGTTGTGTTTGCATTCTTCGGAGTCCAGTAGACTGTAGTAAACAGTAGGAGGACGTCGGAGAGCTTCATGGTGGTGGAGGTGCAAACAACTGAATTAATAGCCTTCCCCTAATGGGAAGTTTGACCGCTAGGTGTCAGGGATCTTTTTACCTGTGTAATCTTCACCGAACGTTGAGACGCAAAGCACTAAAAATCAATGCCCCTTTGTAGCCGGACTTCCCCCTGACACGTGTCTATTAACTCACTTATTTTTGCAGCTTGCAATGGGAGAGATTAATCCAGGTGGGTCGTTCACTGATTTTCACAGTAGTGGGAGAGGCCAGCAGAACTTGGAAAGGTCCCTCCCACTTGGGACTGGTCCAGTTTTTTCTTTTGATGACTTTGATGAAGACCCAGTCCCCAGGCTTAATGGCAGGCGTAGTGTCCTGCAAAACAGGAGAAAAAACAGGCCAGGTATTTGCAGTTTGGGATTCTTTAGACGAAATCAGCCAAAGTTAGTTTGCTAATCAAAGGTAGTTTATATGGCCTGCCATAAATAATTTCAAAAGGTGTTAGTTTTAGGTTAGGTGGAGTTATTCTCATGTAGAATGTTACCAAGTCTAAGCATTCTAGTCAAAGCTAGACATTCAGTCCACTCATCTTCTGGAAAATTAAATCCTAAGAACGTGATTTTCAAATGTCAATCAGCTACTGGGTAACATTAACTTAACTTGGGTTGTTTTCCAAATAACTGATTGAAGCTGCAGTCGAAATCGAGCAGTACCAGTTTCATCACCATGGAGCCTTTACACTACAGTTGCTAATGCAAACAAACTGCCGTTTCTTGGTATTATTGACTAGTTTCATTAGAAGAATCCAGAGATGCCTAGGGGTCTTGTTTGTTTGACCCACCCTTTCGTATGGTTTGCTTTTTAAATTTAAATATTTTTCCTGGTTTGATCTGCAGTTTGCTGCATGTTTGCTAGCTTGCATTGCTTCACTTTCATTGTTTAAATTTCTTTCTTCTTCTACTTTATGTTATTATTTTGTTTATTTTAAAGATTTTTACATGCAGGTGAAGTCTTGGGAACTTGCTTTTTGTGCACTAGTTGGTCTGAAATTTGAATAAGTTACTGTAATAGAAATATAATTTCAATATCCTGATAGGATTACATAACTGAAATATATGACATGCATTTTTCATTGACTCTCTCTGTTTTCATCATCCTGTTGTGTGCTTTTAAATCTAATGGAGTTTGACCCCGCTTCAACCCAACTCATAATCTCCAAGAATAGAATAAATTAGAAAGCAAAGTAAAACAGTACATTTTGCTGAAAGTATCACTGATTCTTTTTCTTCTGTTCTTCTGTTTGTTCATTTAAGAATATGAAAGTTATATGAATGTGTCTCTAGGCTTGCAACATTGTTAACAAATGTCTTCTTTGCAGGAACATTGCTGGTGGACAACATGCATATCAATGGTGTGGCTGAGGGTCCAAATCGTACCATCTCTCTGTCTCTAAGGGACAATTTTGACAACTGGGTGATTCTCGAGCCTGCCAGACAGGCTCTATACCTAAACAGCACCAATCGGGATCTTGACAGAGATGTAAGGCAATGCAATCTTGTTCTTCTTGTTTGATGTATTTGTTGTTGTTGTTTCTATTATTTTAATGTGCAGGGATAGTAGGAAGACTGTTTTCTCTTCCAGGTTTTCTGCATCTTGTTCTGGGACAAACTGAATACATTGTACAATATTTAAAAAGGAATGTAATTTTTATAGTTGGAAATGTATATCAGTTCCAAATTGGCATGTTTGTATTGCCAATGGCCTTGCAGTGGCAGCACAAAGGGCTCCAAGAAACAAATTTACTTTTGCTGTGGTGCCTGTTTCTCCAGATTCATGAGATGAGCTCTAGCAAAGTGACCAAAAGATTAACAATCTCAACATTTTAGAGCTGGTATTGGAATAATTTCTTCTTCTTTTTTAAATTCCCTTCATTGTGCATCTGCATCTTTTTGGAGAGGGCAAAGTCCATTTCCAGTGATCTTTAAATAAATATTAAAGATGTAGAACATTTGTATAAAAATAGACACTTAAAAATAGGTATCTTAATAATGTTTTAAGTTAGAAACACCATAATTGTTTGTCCATTTTTTTTTCTTATACAAGTGATTCATGTGGCAAGTTTGAGAGCCTCAACAAACAACTGGATTTCATAATTAAACAAGTGCGCCTTCAATCTAGTAACAATGGTGTCATTCGGCAGATGAGGAATGACAAATACAGTAAGGTAAAATCAGCATTTCTTTAATACAGTCCAGGGTTGAGCCTTGTTTATACGTCTCCAGCTACGGGAGTGCAGAGACACGTTTCGCCAACATCTGAAAATGCATGCAAGCCCACAGAAGGTGATGGAGACGTGTCAAATCTTTTAACCATCCATTGAAAGCTACAGAGATGAAAAACCTGTGATTTGTCAATACGCCACCTCCTTTGTATTTATCAACAGCACCTCTATTAAAAACAGAGTGCCAAAGAGATCTAGCAGCAGACACACAACAGATCAAACATCAGATTATGTTTTCTGAAGAAGTCTGACAATATTAATCTTTATACATCCATGACAGAAGAAGTGCAAATATGCACAGAGGACTTTAAATTTATGAAGGGAAATAGCAGAAAATGTGAGTGTGGACATGGCCGACCAGATGAAGAGATGGAGAAGAATGAGGAAGTAATGCATCTGTGTGAAAACATCAAAGCTGACAAAGCTACTTACAAAGGGTGAAGACAAATGTTTAAATGCGTAGGTAGAGGGATGACAATAAGACACAGGTGGATACAATTAGGCAAAAAGAAGGAACTGATAAGAGGTGGGAAACAAACAGGAAGTGACACAACCTGAAGCAAGACAAGACACTAGTGAATCAAAGTAAATCAGGAAGTACAGAAATGAATGGTGCATGGTAAATGGTCTGATTTTGTAAAGCCCACCTTAGGGTTCTACATCCCCCCAAGGCACTTTACAACACAATCAGTCATCCACCCATTCACACACACAATCACAGCTAAACACAAATCTAATATTAAGAAGGAGGAACTGGCATGAAAAATATGTGTTACCATTATAAACTAAACCAACACCAAGGCAGGAAATAAATCATGGATTAAAGAACCGAAATTATTTTTTCACATTCAGTTGAGAATCTTGCCTTGAAGAAGTAAATTATATCATTTTATTAGAAGTAAGTTTAGAATCAGGGCTCCCTCTGCTTTTTAACTTTACATCCATTTTTTCAATATGGCAGGTCTTTGGACACATGATACCTAATGTCCTTCCAAAGCATTTCATTTAGCTTTAGTTCTGGACTTTCTACTAATGTATTAAAACACTGATTATTTGCTGCTGTGCTTGCAGCCATTGTCCCGGTGCATCTGTGTGTGCTGAAGGTTTGACCCTAGAATACTTCAGTGGCATAGATCCTTTTGGTTGTTTGAATAATTTTAATATTTTAATCTTATAGAATAAATTTCCTGATACCCTTTTTACCAGATGAATCCAAACCAGTAATTTCTTATAGATCACTGATGATCATTTCTTCTTGACCACAAACATTAAAACGTCAGACCCAAAAGTTAGTGTAACATGCACTCTTACAAAGATGTTCTGTTTTACTTATATCATTTCATTTTAGTAGAAGCTCTTGCTTTCTAATTGCCCCTTTCACGCACCTGCTAGCAGGAAGGGTTTATCTTGAAATTAACACGCCGATTCTGTGCTTCAGCTAATGCTTTTTAATAAATGAAGTGTTGTGGTTTAATAATGAGAGAAAGATTGAGAGCTGAATACATTTTAAGATGACTGGAAACCCTGACAAAATGTGGAAAACTTGAAAGGGTCTGACAACTTTCCATCATCACTTTATCTTTTTGGTATTGACAGAAATGGAAATCATAGTAGATGTGATGCCGCTGACAATTTCACACTAAATTGGCATCAGTACATTCACTTTTTATCCTAAAAAGGGAAACCCTGATGTAGGAAATACATTTTTATGGATGCCTCACTTCCCACAGTTTGCTGCTGTGAGAACTCAAAAAGTTTCAGCTTCATCTTTTCTGAATCATCTCCTCTCCTGCTGCTGCCTTTGACAGTGTGACCTTGCCCTAGTAGGAACTGCAGGCCATTTGACTGCGTCTGTACTGTGTTGTTTTTATTATTGTTGTTCAGTAGCATTTGTCTGTGTGTTTCTGGTTCTCTTTGCCAGCCACCATCAAATATTCAGTCCATTGTGGTCCAGGTTCAGTGTACCAATGAACTGATCGGAACCGTGATTCTACACGAGGTTCGCATTGTTGTCCGGGACAAAAACGACAATAGACCACACTTCCAGCAGCCTAGGTACTACGTAGCCATCAATGAGGTAAGACACTTCTCTATATGTCACACACAGATGTCTCGTCTCCAATGTAGGAAAAGCCAAGTCAAAAATATTAAACTGAATTTTCGTGTGGTGGAACTGCCTCGTCTCTTAATCGAAAGTCATTGATCCCACTTATCTTCCACTACTGCTGTCCATCGTGCTGGCAGGTACGGCATTGATTTGTGTGAGGGAAACTAGAACGACCATATTAGCAAGAACTAGTTCAGGAACTTGCGTATCTCTTCAGTTTCATGCTGAGGCATTAAAGGAAATGGGTTCTGTAAAGATCTATTTCTGAAGCAGCATGTTTAAAATGAACAACAGGTTTTTTTTTGTCTTCACCACTTTCACTATACACAAGCTGAAGAATGATATGAAGCAAAATAATAAATAAATAAAAGAATGCCAAGTTTAGTAACTACTGTTGAAAGTCTTATTTTGTGGTTTTCAGAATTATCTTCAAGATGACATTTCCACAGTTAGTTTGTCCTTTGGTGTCAGGAAGAAAAGATTTTTACTAGAGGACAATCAAAGTTAACTGTACATGTATATTGCTGCCAGTGCAGACCAAGCTGAATAGATCATTATGCAATCTTCCTTATTCTGCCTAACTCAATCAGTCCTCCCAACGTTTAGCTTTTTTCTCTCGCAGGCTCTCAGTTTTTTTTATTTCTGTCCTCCTTCATGCTCCCGTGCCTCCTCACTACTCTCAGTTGCTCATTATTTCCCCTTTTTTCAACTCCGCAATATACCACAAAGATTTTATTTTATCTTATTTTTATATTTTCAATCAATTTAGCAGTGGCCACATCGTGAGGTATTATCCTGACCCATGACTGGTTTAATTTTGTTGAACATTTGGTATTATTCTTAAGACTATATTATTGCATGGTAGTGTAAGGCCTGGAATATACTTGCTCTTTAATGACACATATATGTGTTTAAAATGGCTGCCACGCATAACTTGCATTGATTTGAAGCATTGTTTGTGAGTGTCCCCCAAAATTAATGTGATGCATCTGAACACTGCAATATATGAGTAATTAGTAGACGGAGTTGACTAAATGAGTGAGACACACTCAACATGGTGACTCCATCTATCTATGCTACGGCTACTATCTTTTGGTTGTCATGGGTGGGGAGCTGCGGTCCGAGTTCCAGGGGGGTTACGTGGGGTTTCAGAGGTAGGCGGGGTGATTTAAGCTTAGGGCTGTGTTGAGCAGTCTGGCAGAATGAGCTTTGATGCTTCGATGCTGTCTTCCTAATGGTAGGAATGGAAATAGGTTGTGAGAGGGATGAGGTGGAGTCCTTCTTAAAGATCTTTGCAGCTGTGTTTATTGTTAGCTGGAGGGTCTTTTGGTCAATAGCACTACAGGTCCATACCAGACAGTGATGTCAAGTCAAGTCAAGTTTATTTATATAGCGCCAAATCACGACAAGAGTCGTCTCAAGGCACTTCACATAATAAAAATTCCAATTCAGGTCAATTCATTAAGCCAATCAGAAATAATGTTTCCTATATAAGGAACCCAGCAAATTGCATCAAGTCACTGACTAGTGTCAGTGACTATACAGCAATCCTCATACCCATCAAGCAAAAAGCGACAGTGGAGAGGAAAACTCCCTTTTAACAGGAAGAAACCTCCAGAGAATCCTGGCTCAGTATAAGTAGCACACTCTCAATGTAGAATGGTGAGGATTGGTGGAGGGAGACTTGCTGTTTTAGGCAGCTGAAAAAGTCTAGGTGCTTTTGTGCTTTTTTGAAGAGTGGCTTTTTATTGATGGTTCAGTTGAGATCTTGTGGGATGTGCAAACCTGTTCACCTGTTCATCAAGCTCTGCAGAAGACTGTTAATCACCTGCTGATTGAGATCAGGTGTGTTAAAGCACAGTTGAAACTAAAATATGCTGGGTAGTGGCCCTCAATGGACAAGGGTTCCCCACCCCTGTTTTAGATGGTCTCTCAGTCTAAGATGGATTACTGAAATAAATTGACTTTTATTTTTTCATCATATTCTAATTATTTGAGTTTCACCTGTAGAAACCAGTTAGAGATTATATGAACTTTGGTGCATTTTCCTACTGTAAGTAGCCATCAAAAGTTGGGTCCACTTTGGTCATAAATGGATGGACAAGTGTTAACACAAGGCAGGATGGCTGCATGCTGTCATGTTGGTGAAACCAAATTCTTGACCCAGTGGTCTGAATTTTAAAATTGAAATCCAGACTCATCGTTTATCGAGTCCTGTATGGCCCAGCTCTGATGATCGTGTTCACATTGTAGCCTCAGTTTCTTGTGTTTAGCTGACAGGAATGCTGCATGCTATCTGCTTCAAGGTTAAACATGTTGTCGTTCTGAAGGTGGTATTCTCCAGCCATTGGTAACAAGTGGTTTTTTGAGCTACATTTGCTATTTTTATAATTTCCAACCAGTCAGCTTGATCTCCTCTGACCTGTGACATCAACAATTTTAATTAAAATCAACCATTTTCTCACTCGATATTGTTTTTATTATTTACAACCACTGTCTGTAAACCCTGGAGATGCATGAGACATTGTAAGGACCTATTGTTAAATCAACGAGAGGCAGAGATAACTGCTGTACAAAGCTATTAACACTCCTTTCTCTGATCTTTACAGCTGACTCCAGTTGGAACAACCATCTTCACTGGTTTCTCTGGGAATAATGGTGCAACAGATATTGATGATGGTCCCAATGGACAGATAGAGTACACAATCCAGTACAACCCAAAAGACCCAGTGAGTTATCCATCTGTCTTTTTACCCATTGCTGATCTGGGACATGTTGGAGACATCAAATTACGAGAGAGACCAAAAAAAGGGCAACATTTCAGTCACATTTCAGTTCAGTGTGCCAGAAATTTACAACAGTGTCTGAGATTACTGATGGTGTCTTAATCATGTTTAAGACAGAAGTCAACACTTCTTGAAGGTTTTTCACATTTCTCACATTCTACCATACCATACCATACCAGTTTTTTATATGTCACCTTTAAATAACAGCATGGGAGCTGACCAAAGCACCTCCTGTGCTTAAAAAAAAAACAGACACAAGAAAACCCCAAATCAACAGGAATCCATACACACAATTAACATGTAAAAAAATCACAATCTAAAAGCCAAATCGTATGAGTGCACCTTCAACCGTAAATTGAAGACACCAGTGGATGGTGACTAACAGATAGTGAGCGACCATGCTTTACAGAGAGTGGGAGCTACATTCACAAGGGCCTGCTCCCCCCTTGTCCTGTAGTGCATTGTCAGAGAGCAGGGTAGTAGGCAGTCAGCTGACCATACCGAGTGCACTGGCACATAGGGCATGAGTAGGTCTGACAAGTACACAGGTGCCAGACCGTGCAAAGCTTTGGAAGCAAAAAGCAATAACTTAAATTTTACCCTAAACGCAACGGATAGCCAATGAAGGTAAGCCAAAACTGGGGTCATGTGTCTGTCTGCCTGCGTCGCTCGTTCTTTAAGAAGTGTGCTGCGGCGTTCTGCACAATCTGCAAACAATTCAGGGCCAAAGCTGGAGTCCTGACTATTAACGAGTTTGCATAGTCGAGGCAAGAGGTGACAAAGGCATGTATCACGGACTCCCAGTGCAACCTTTTCAAAATCGGCTTTAGGCGAGCTAAACAACAAAATTGAAAGAAATATGACCTTACCACTGCATTGATCTGCGGGACCATTTTAACTGACTCAGGTACTTTCCATTCAGACTCATTGAAACTAAATTGAGCATTGAAGATGCATATGCCTATGACAAAAGATATGGGCGTTAGAGTCTCCTTTTCTAATGCCTTTAAATGTGATTCCATCTGTCCCTGCCTAGCAATATGTTGGCTTTTATCATCACAAAGCTCAATGTTTCCTAGTTATGAATGCACTGTGTGTTCACAACAATAAGTAATGCACAAAATGGAAATGTTTCAGCTGGATCTCAATATCAGGGACATTAACTGTTGAAAGGAAACAAGGTGATCAAAATAAATAAAACATGCTCTCAAATTATCAGTATGCATTTAAAATAAATTGTAACCCCATCAATTTTATAAAATGTCAATTGTGTCATTATTGACATAAATGTCTAATATTCTTCCACAGCCGTGCGTGATAGTATTTTATATTTTTCACATGCATACATATAAATGATTAAAAAGCATGTATGTGCATTTACTGATATAACTCAGTGATCTAATAGAAGGTTGTCTTTTACAATGAAATGATTTTAGAGAAGTGTTTTTTTTTAGAACACCTTAAAGCAATTTGAACCAGTTTAATTTTTGGCGATGTTTCAGTGTGCTTCAGCATCACGGTTCAAAATGTTTCAGTGTTTTACTGGCTCTTAGATTTGAATTAATACATTGTAAGTGCATAATAAGTGCAATATTCATTCTTTTTCTAATGGAAACATGTTCTAGTAATGAAACACCCTGAACATTTTATATTTTATTGACCCAGGGTTCTCAGGCTTTAGAGGAGACAAATTATTCAGTTTTATTTATTTATTAAAAAAAATGTATTTTTTTTACTGTAAAATACCTTTCACTTCAGATCAAATCAGTTGCTGCAATGTTTAGGCGTCGATCCAAATACATGTGCAAAAATGCAGGTTCTAGACATCTGAAATACAATTCTAATTGCAAAATAACGCAAGCACCAAAACTGGCTTGTTGCATGATAAAACATTACATCAAAATCTGACCAAATGTGTGAAAAACCAAAGTGTGTAATTTCTGGAAGGAAAAGCACTAACCCCTACCTTCCACCAGATGTGAAAATGGCATGTAACATAATAGAGGCGTTTTACCTTCAAGCTCTCGTCCAACCTGGAGCGTTTCAGATGAATTGCAACACCGCGTGTGATTTTGAAAGTTCATACAATAACAACCAAGGAGAACGATGGCCGCATGTATCCAAAAAGGGCTGTGGTTAATTTTCTGTTCTGTTTACCTCAGCTGAGGAAATTGCACAGGAAGTGAAGGCCAGATATGAACTGCAGAGTTTGACGTGTTATGGAAGCATAGAAAGAAGAAAAAGAAAAAAGAACTTGAAAAATTATAAAAGCGTCCCTTTGCTTTGGGACACGTCCAAAACATTTACATGTCGTGGCTGGTGGAAAGGAACCCGCCCACTATAGCAGTACATTTCTCTCCCGTTTTGCTATGCTTTTGCATCTGTTGAATATCAGTAACAATCAACAGGTGTGTTGATTACTATTAAGGAAAAGTAGAGAAGGATGACTGAGGAGAGCTGGTGGCAACAATGGCACACTAAATAAAACCAGAAAGATATCTAACAGACCGTAATACCAAAACTCATTGAAATATAGAAAGAGTAGTTTCTTAAAATGCTCCAGAATTAACACAGAATGTGACATTAGCAAGTGTTCTGTATGTATGGCTGCTCATACTGAGCCAGGTTCTGCTGGAGGTTTCTTCCTGTTAAACGGGAGTTTTCCTCTCCATAGTCGCCATATGCTTGCTTAGTATGGGTACTGCTATAAAGTCTCTGACACAAGTCAATGACTCCATGCTATCTGCTGGGTTTCCTTATATGGAAAAACTTTGACTAACTGGCATAATTAAATGAACTCAGTGCAATGATAAGTAGGTTTAGTTGGACATTTTTGAGATGAATTGTGTTGTGATTTGGAGCTATATAAACTGAACTAAATTAATGTGATGGAAACATTACAGTGATTGTCTCCTAATTTCCAGTTATTTCATTGGTTGTTTTGTTTGTGTGTATATTTTAAACAGATGTTGTACCTCCATTTTGACAAAGTAAAAAAAGACATACTTTTCACGTTATAGGTAACATACTGTTTTTCTGTCTATGCATCTATTTTTCAGACAGCCAACAGAACCTTTGACATCCCGCTGACGTTGTTTGGATCCGTAGTTCTTAGAGAAAGACTCAACTACGAGGACATAACTCGATACTTAGTCATCGTTCAGGCAAACGTAAGTATTTTTTTTTTTGTCTGTTACTTTTATTCCTGAATCAATCCTGCTTGTAGGTTCAAACATGTCTGGGCAACAATAAAAGACATTAATAAAATAAATTTTTATTGGGAAAGTTTAGATAATACTACAATTTGTTTTATTTAACTTTTAGTGAAAAATAGAAAGAGGAACAACGACCAACAAACTCATCTACTACCTTTAATGCTGGCATTCTGACTGTTTGAGTTGTTCAGCTTGAAGGCGCCGAGAACATCCTTAATTATCAATTATGCTTCTAATCTAAACTTTTTTCTTTTCCTTTTACTGCTATCAACATAAAAGCTCCAGTCAATACAAAACGCTGCTCAATCGAAAAAATCTGAGGGAAGTGAACTGAGCCATGACTAAAAGGTGACAAAGCCGTCCCATTTAGAGTTGTGTTGTGACGGAAAAACATTGCACACAAAAAGCAGCAGTTCTCAAGAGGACTATGTTTACGTGTTGGTGCCACTTACCCTGAAAACCTCATGAAAGCAAAACTCAAAGAATAATACTGCATGTTTCGGTCTGGATGAAAGCCACATTCACAGTTCATCTGAGGCTTACAGGTACAGATGTTTGGGAAGCTGCACAATTGTTGAACATTAACTCGTGAAAACTCCCACTGACCAAGTGCATCCAGGAAAAGACCAGTTGGAATAACGCTAACTTTTTCCAACAAATAGTTTTGGAATGGAAAATAATAATAATAATAATAATAATAATAATAATAATAATAATAATAATAATAATTAGAAATTGACTGACTTGGTTAGAAGACTTGTATCTTCAAAGAGTGACTCAAATCCCAGCAGAGCATAACATTTTCATTTAAATGTGTAATTGTATGAGTTTTTGTTGACTGACATATGCTGCCTGGAGGTGCAGTTGCCCGCACTGTAAGGAGGTTGCAGGTTGAAATCTGAGCTTTGGAGTTAGCATTTTCCCCCACACATGTTTGGCTTTTAGAATAAACATAAAATGTTACTTTTGTAAAGTTCCGGTGTCACCGAGCAGCCGCAGCAGTATCGATCTCTGAAAAATGTCCGCAACACAGACTTCGTAGTTGTCTGGAAGGTTTTTTTTTCCAAGTTAAGAAAAGAGGCGGACGTGTTTCCTAAATCCTGCATCAGTCCAAGCACGGCAACTTCTTTAGGTTTTTATTCCGTTTTAGTAGCCATTAGCACTGTGCATTGTTGTGTGCATCAGTGATATTCAGTCTACGAGAAAATCGTGCAATGACAAAGGTTCCGCCGTGCTCAAAATGCAAGTTGTGATTAAATGCGTGAATTTTTTTTACGCGTTATTTTTTTCTAATTAATTAATCATAATTAACGCGTTAAAGTCCCGGCCCTAATATATATATATATATATATATATATATATATATATATATATATATATATATATATATATATATATATATATATATATATATGTATATAGTATCAGCTAATACTCTGTTGTATAAACACTTGAAATAAAACCTGGAGTTCTTTTTGAGTCAACACATTTGTTGTACCTCATTAGAGAATAGCACAAGAGTAACATTGCCATGATTCTCGTATAAATATATATATTTTTTCACACCGAGTCGCCTAAAATCTGAAATTAGCTCTCAGTTATGTCTAAAAGTCTTTGGAAATAGTCTTCATTTCATCCTGAAATGTGCTGCTAGTTGATCCATAAAGACCCAAGAGCCACCAGTCGTTTTCACTCGTTTTGTCTCAGTTTGATATTTTTCCAGCTCTGATTCCAGTTTGCAAATAATGTTTGATTCAGAACAGTGCATCTGTTTGTTGAAAAAAAAGTAATTTTGTGTATGGAGGGAATGCCTGTTTAATACAACACACCAGTCTATTGTTTGTGCGAAGCTGTTTGTGCCCTTTAGGGACTTTTTGAAATGCTTTTAATTCCATGAACACACAATCAATTGTTCGAGGCAACTGTGTTACAGCAGTGTGTACAAATTGGTTTCTCACTGGGCTGAGACTGTTGGTGACAAGTTGGAAATCTGGTGCTTCAGAAGTTTAAAACCTTGGTTCATTTTGTATTTCAGTTTGAACTGAGAAAGCCCCTCACACATAATACAAAATATCTTGAAGAAAACTAAAATTACAGCTGTAAGACTTTCCTCATTTTTTTTAAATTAGTTTTCATATTTCTTGTTCTTTCTGACTTATACAAGTCTAGTTGAGAAGAGTTTAAGATGGATTCTGGACACCTAATTATTGCAGGTGTCAAAAATCCATCTCAAATATTGTGCCTTTCTTTTTTAAAGGGACTTTAAGGTGATTTTTATGCTCGCTATTGCCCCCTCAGGCCAAACATGTATCTGCATCTACAATAGTAGGCTTGTGCGTGAGGCATGCATGCTGAATGTGCACACTCCTAAACTAAAACAGCTAAGTCAGTCACATACCTGTGCAATTCACAGGTTTAGACTGTTCTGTACAATTCTAATAAATGACACAAACAATGTACTCTGATGTAGACATGCTAGACAAGAGGCCTAAAAAGTGTTCTTACTATGATATAGTAAACACCCCCAGCTTGCTTGAAATCATCAACCCTCTGCCCCCTAGTACTATTTTATTAGTTAAAATGTTCAATTAGTATGATTAAAATGGCCCAAATTGCTTTGATGTGTAAAAAAATTTGAGGAACTGGGAGCAGGTGTCTCATGATATAACCATCCTTGTGTCACTGAAGGAAATCCATATGAGCCACAAAGCTGCATGGGTTAACAGGACAGTAGTTCAAACTCCCGCTAACTTTATTTGCCAAATGCACGAAGAGCATAAGTGCCTGATGGCTGCAGACCTGGAGACGCCCGCGCCATCTCTAGTAGTGGCGTGACTCTGCAGCGGCGTGAATCTCTAGAAGCAGCAGCAAGTTTACATGGAGAGTGATTCCATAGTCTAAATATAGACATTGGCCCTATAATGGGGAAGCATTGGGTCCCATTTTTAAAGTCTTGGGTATGACCCAACCAGATTTGAACCCCAAACTCCCAGTCCCAAGGCTGACACTCTGCCCACTAAGAAGGATAGTTCAACACATGTTAGAAACTTCACTGTTAATCTAGAAACTTCTACCAACAATTTAGCTCTGTAAGACACTGGCTTTATTTTTTCCACTCAAAGTTAAAACAGCCAACTCGTAAATTACAAAATGATTTAAATGTTCTTTTATTTCAGTAATTCAGCCTAAAAAGTGAAACTAATACAAGATATAACCTCATTCCATGCAAACCCAGATGTTTCAAGCCTTTATTTGTTATAAATGTGATGATTATGGCTTACAGTTTATGAAAACCGCACTTTCAAAATCTCAGACAATTTTAGAATATTGTGAAAAAGTTATTCTAGACCCAAAGTGTCACACTCTAATCAGCTAATGAATCCAGAACACCTACAAAGGGTTCCTGAGCCTTTAGATCAGGCGTCTCCAAGCTTTTGTGACTCATGAGCTACTTTTTAACAGTGAAAGTACAGACGAGCCACCGCTATACGATTTTTCACATTGTTACTTTCCATGTGTGACTATGCTTGGTATGTTTATCAAAGCTTACTATATTAACATGCATTTTATTCACAAGTTAACTTCTCTGTATTTCAATACGTCAGTATTATTTTAAAAAGTACAAGGGAAATGGTGACATTCAGAAAATCGAATTAAACAAAACGTGTAGTTTTTTAACTAATCAGATACTTTCAGATTATGAAACACAAAACTACTGAATTATTTGCCATTTTTTTAGAATGGATCAGTAACATCATTTTTTGAGCAAACAGGAACAGCTATCCTGCTCCTGTTCTGCCCCTGACTCCGTGCCCAGAGCCTAAGCAGCAATGTCAGTTTTTCTTCAAGTTCAGCTATTTAGTCATAAATGACCAAAAACTATAGAATGCAATTTAAAGAACATTTGATGTTGACAGAAATGGGGATCCATACTGCAAGCTGAGCAATTAATCTGTGTATTTCCAGTAGAACATGTTTGCTGAAAGATTTGGGCAATAATCAGATTTTTATCTTACTTCAACAAAATAATTTTAGATTAGATATTACAGAAAATGGGACGGCTTGCCAACAAATTAAAGATCCTTCCCTCGTTATTTATAAGTCAGGATGGCTCCTCTGGCTGCTTCCAGGTGAGTGACTTTCAAGTGCATCACGAGCTACCCGTAGCTCGCAAGCAACATTTTGGAGACCCCTGCTTTAGATGGTCTCAGTCTGAAACAAATTACTGCCATAAATGTACTTTTGCACCATTATCTAATTTTTCCAATTTCACCCAGAGCATTATGCAATTTATTTTTTATGTAATCACATTTCAATCTGTTCATATTTTTACGACTTTTGCATTATTTGAGATCTGTTCTTGGGGGGATGAGACACCAGTAACTCTCCTAAAAGAACACAAAAGAACATGATGATGAATTTTAAACTTTACTAAAGTTTAAATACTTTTGAACTTCAACTGACACTCTAGTTGATGTGATTCTGGGTTCCCCTTCATGGCTGAAAAAAGATGTCTACTGTTTTGTATTATATAAAGATCAGTGAAGGTAATTTCAGGTGATAAACATGAGTCTCTAAAGGGAGTAATTTCAGCTACCACTATCGTAAACGTGGCTGGAAAGAAATGGTGATGCATGATGTGATCAGAAGAGAAATGTGCTTAAAGTTTGATGTTTACTGTAACACAAGGACTTTGCTTGTTATAAACAGGTTACATATTTCATTAGAGCCTTGCTAAAATTTAGCTACATCTGCTTAAGGTCTAGTGAAGGTCTTCCTCTGAGAAAAACTTAATAGTGTGTGAGCACATCCATTTTTCATTTGATTTGTATCAAGGTCATCCTGTTTTAAACCTCAGACCTTTTACACAAACCAGCATTTTCTCTCTAAACTGTTGCTGGGAACCTTTTGGTTCCTCTTAGGTGTGGTGGTACCAGGTTCATTGCACTTTCAGGAAAGATGCACACACACACACACACACACACACACACACACACACACACACACACACACGAACACACACACGTAAAGGCAAATTTTGAATAGTGGTTTTTATGTTTTAAATGCAAATGAGTGCTCTTTTTATTTATTAAATGAATCAGTATGCAAATAAGCACTGTTTACCAATTATTTTATAAATATTTACACTGCTGGTATTGAAAAGGAGGTCAGAGTTTTGTAAAGCATTTGGCCTTCTGAGGCTAAAGGGTGACACACTTGCCTTTTTGGGATTTATTAAAAAACAGGGAAAATTTTGTACATAAAAAGCAAAAGATTGAAGATTTCAATTTAAAATTGTTTTTAGACATGTTTTAATAATTTTCTGATGAATAATCTATGACATAAATGTTTTAGAAACATGAAAGCTTTGTATGTAAGAAAAATAAAATATTGTGTGTGTGTGTGTGTGTGTGTGTGTGTGTGTGTGTGCACGCATGCGTATGTGTGCATGTGTGTGTGTGCATGCATGCATATGTGTACATGCATGTGTGTGCGTGTGTGTGTGTTTAGGACCGAGCGCCCCATCTGAGTGACCGTCTGACAGCCACCACCACTCTAACTGTGGACGTGTTGGACGGAGATGACTTGGGTCCCATGTTTCTACCGTGCACACTTGTAGGAAACACCCGTGACTGCAGTCCCATTACGTATCTGGCTAATGTTCTGGAGCTGACAGAGCCGGTAAGTGTTATGCACGTGCATTATTCAGTAAGTTATAGTTTGGTGTGAGGTGCAGAGAGCATGTTTCTGTCTGTGTCCACTTGAGTTAAGGCAAAAACTCACTTCATTACGTGGTACTCATCCTTCTATTTTCAACCAGTCTTATAGTTTAAGTTTAGAACACTTTAAAAAGCTTTCCCTATTTTTTTGGGTAGAAAAAGTAAACATTTTTCAATTAAACACTTTTTAATTGAATTTTAAAGGGGTATTTCTATTATGACTATAGTGACATTCCAGCCAGAATGTTACACTTTAAATTTGTTGTAAGGAAATTGAATTAATCTGATGCCATCACTTGCCATAAATAGGCATAAAAGGCTAGATATCTGTCAAAGTTTATAAAATAGGTGTAGCACAAACTGCTACAACACAGCAGTAATTCCATACCATTCCAGCTTATTTGTATAGCACATTTACACACAGCATGAGAGCTGACCAAAGTGCTTCCCATAACATACATTGCAATACAATAAATAAAAGACTGATGAACAATAAGATCACAAGATAAAATCTAAACTAGAAAAATTGCATTTATTGCACAAATGCTGTTTGAATGCTGGATAGCTGAAACTGTAAGCTGAAGCTGCTGAGCAGCTGAACTGAAGCTGAAATTAAGCAAAACTGTCAAAATGAGCTGAATGTCTTGAAAGATGTAGAAGCAAAAAGCACCAACAAGCAAATAAATCACAGATAGTAAGTGAAGAATGGAGAAAAATAATGCTAAATAGCAAAAAACTTAAATCTGTGAACATTGTATAAAAGTCTGGACAGCTTAAATGTTTAAACACCTGTTATTTCAGTTTGCCAAGTTAAACAGTTTAATCTTTACATTTAGCTGAACTGTGAAATTAGCAGTTTATGCTAAATTTGATAACTTATTGCTGAAGTTGTTGAATAGCTGAAGTAAGCTGAAACTAAGCTAAACTGTCAAATGAGCTGAATGTAGTGAAAAATTAGAAATCAAAAAGCACAAAGAAGCAAAAAAAGCACAAAAAGTAAGTGAAGAATCAAGAAAACTAATCCTAAATAGCAGAAAACTCTAATCTGTGAACACAGTTTAAAAAAATTGGACAGCTAAAATGTCTAAACACCTGTTATTTCAGTAGGACTAGTTTAACAGCTTAATTTTTACATTTAGCTGAACTGTGAAATTAGCATCATATGCTGAATTCAGAAACTATTTGCTGAAGCTGAAACTAAGCAAAACTGTTAAAATGAGCTGAATGTTTTGAAAGATTTAGAGCAAAAAGCACCAAAATGTAAATAAAAGCACAAAAAGTGAAGAACGGAGAAAATAATCCTAATCAGCAGAAAACTGAAACCTGAACATTATTTTAAAATCTGGACAGCAAACATGTCTAAACACTTATTGTTTGAGTAGGACTAGTTTAACAGTTTAATTTTTATATTTACTTGAACTGTGAAATGAGCAGCATATGCCTCATCAGACACCAGTATGCAGGCTTACAATACCCTGGAATGAGTTGTTCCCCGCGGTCTGGAGGGGTGCGGTCAGAGTGGTGAGGTCACTGGACGTTGAAACCATAATACTCAGAGATTAGTAACTTCCTCTGAGTTCAGCTTCCCCGGCCATGAGATGCAACCCGGGGCCTGCAGATTAGGTGTGAAGTAGCTCTGGAAAGAGCTGTTGTGTCTGTAATCACTTGCAGCGTCACGGAAGGTCAAAGGAGATGGTTTCAAAAGAGATGCTTCTTTCCCGATTTGGCCGAATCGGGAGTCAGCTGGAAACTGAATTAATCGGGAAGTAACTCTTGTTTAATGAGTGTAAACAATGATTAACTTGTTAAATCAAACACATAGTGATTTGTGATATAAATGGATTATTGTAAGAACAATTTTCATTTCAAAGCTATCATTGGTTTAAGCACAGGTTATTCAAACATTTGATTTAAACATCTTGTTCATTCATCACATACTCATGCTGTCAAATCCTGTAGAAGCTTTAAGTAGATAGTGAGGAATTCAGCAGTCTGGCTTTTACGCAGAGAGTGCAGGAACCTTGGAAGGCTGTTTTGTCTCCAGTGTTTTGTCAACAAGCACTGAGCAGAACCTTCTGGATTTGGAAAGCCAAACAGAAAGTGGATTCATTCATGTAGATGAAAGGTTACTATGTTGGTCAATATGTAGGTGAAAATTGACCGTTTTGGACGTTACAATGTTCTGTTTGAAGTTAGTTTTGTTCTTGTTTGCAAATGTTCCAAGATAGGGCCAGTGTTGCCGGCTTGCTGTCTGTCAGCTCCTCTAGGTTTTGTATTTTTATTGTTGTTAGCCTATGTGTTACAACCCGCTCACCCAAGATTGGTGTATGATTGTCATTCGCTATTTGAAATAGGTTTTTTGGTTGGATTTTTACCGTCCGAAGCTGTTGAGCACTGGACTACTTCCTCCCCCTCTACCTGGATGGCCTTTCGGCGTGCTGGGAAACACCACCGTTTACGCACTCTGCTAGGAGAAGTAAAGTAAAGTAAAGTAAAGTAAAGTAAAAGTTTATTTATATAGCGCCTTTCACAGATATTAATCACAAAGCGCTGTACAACATGATAAAGATCAGGGCAAATACCTCTAACCAATAAAAACATCAGAAAAACAATAGCAGTGATAAACGTAGAAAATAAAATCATGAGTATAAACAAAGTGAAGGTGTGAACCCAAACAAAGCCATCTTTTTGAAACATTTAGGGAGGGAACGCCTGGATGAAAAGGTGAGTTTTTAGATGATTTTTAAAGACCTCTACAGTGTTAGAGAGACGGAGATTTGAAGGTAGACTGTTCTAAAGTCTGGGTGCAATAGTCTGAAAGGCCCTGTCCCTTTTGGTTTTCAGTCTGGTTCGAGGAACAGCCAGGAGGTTTTCAGATGTGGATCTAAGGTTCTGAGAGGTGATGTGTGGGGATAAAAGCTCAGATAGGTAGCTTGGAGCCTGGTTGTTAAGAGCTCTATAGGTCAGGACTAAAACTTTAAACTGTATTCTATATTCTACCGGGAGCCAGTGGAGGGACTGTAAAACTGGGGTGATGTGAGCTCATCTGCTGGATTTGGTTAGGAGTCTGGCTGCTGCATTTTGGATGGCTTGAAGGCGTGAGAGGGAGGTTTTGCTGAGACCAGTAAAAAGAGCGTTACAGTAGTCTAAGCGTGATGACACAAAGGCATGGATTATTTTTTCCAGATCTGCAGTAGAAACCAGTTTACGGACTTTTGAAATGTTTCTCAGTTGAAAGAAACAAGAGCGGGAGATGGTTTTGACGTGTGAGAAAACGTAGGAGGAGAGGCTGTCGGGATGGACGGCTCGTTAAGCTGAAAGCATTGAAGCTTGCCTTTTTTGTGGTTCGCGAGTGGTCTTGTGTTCGTCCACTCGGTTCCTGGCGCCGTGGTGTGTGGTGGATCCGGTGGATTCGTGGCTCGTTCCTGTTGCCGGCAATTAATGGGAGTATGGTAAGCGCTCCCCACTCTTTCGGAGATTCAGTTGGAGACAAGCCGATCTGAGGAATCTCCGATCATTAACTAGAGCTTCTTCCACCATCAACAGTTATGAAGTATCCTTAAGGTGGGGCCTGGTTAATGCTAGGTCTGTGGCTAACAAAACATTCATTGTGAATGAATTTTTTACAACTCATGTTCTCGACATCCTCTGGCCGTTCTGTTACTGCCATCAGAGGTTTGGTAGCATTTCATCAAATTAGATGATTTGATCAAGATCGCTAGGAAGGCTAAGCCGAGCGGTTCGCCGGATGAAGTGATGCCAACATGCCTCTTTAAAGAAGTCTTTCCGGTAGTCGCCCCTTTAAAGGAGCATGGGGCAGAATTGTCCAAAAACAAAAAGTAAATGTTCATTCTTGTGAAGCTTATGGGTGATGAAGCATTTTAAACTAAAAAGAATGATGAAACCAGTTTATCATTCCATTTTGTTAAACAGGCTGTGTGCTTCAAAATGCAAAACATGTCGCATCCGAATTTTCCGCGCTGTTTTAAGGATGTGACGTTATTTGACGCTTCAAGCGCGTTCTCGACAAGGTTCAAACCCGGAAAAACATTTTGAAGCTTGCTAGGTGGCGGTAATGCGTCTTTCACTACTAGCCACGTTAAAACCTCAAACAGAAGAGGAAGAACCCTGGAAATGGATTCTACAACTAGCAAACGACCAAGCGCAACTCAAAGCCCACTAAAGAGTGGCACAAAGAAAAAGGTTTTATCAGCGGCATCTCGAGAGTCAAAAAGAAAATATGATAAAAGTCGGTCAGGGACCCGAATATCTATTGGTTACGCTCTGGAAAAATGGAGGCTGCTTCAACTGGATTTGGTGCCTGAAAAAGGATGCGGACATGGCACATTTTCTAGTGACCAGGTAAGTGTTGGTCTCCTTATTTCTGCTGTAGGTTTCAGTAACGAGTAGGTAAACATATCAGAGCTGTATCTGCACAATTTGAGAAAATAAAATTAAACTTATGGATTTAGATAATGCTGATTTAGGTAATCTAGCAAATCTTTGTGTAGATGAACAAGAAACTTATCTAAGCTAACGGTGTTTAGCATATGGCTTCCTGATCAGTTTAAAAAAGCTAGAAGCAACTAAGGTGTAATCAGATCACTTCTACGTTTTGTGGACGACACGCCGCATGTGTTTGGAGATAAATGGATGCTCCGTTTATTCTGATGAGAAAAGTAAACAGAGCTTGATTTGATTATACCGCTCAGCCGGAGAGAGCTAGCGTGTGTTAGCATGTTAGCTGCGATCACGTTTCAGTTTGTATGTACCACAGAAGAGAACGGACATTTTCCAAACCAAAGATGAGTCTTTAGAATTATGTCATATTTGATCTACAGTCCAACCTCTAAGCAGGACTGTTAGTTCAGTAGATAATGTTATTCGTGGGGTTTGTGTAACAGAACCCCATCAGAATATGTTTCCCTAGCGCTATTGCTGTGCTACATAAGAATAAATAAT